CAGCTCCTCGTTGGAGCGACTTCGTGCTGCTGCACCGCGTGAAGAGCGATGGTGGATGGCAAGTGTCGGGCGAGTTGCAGTCGAGCGATGCAAGGTGGCTAAAGACTGCGGAGGTGGTTCTGGCGCCGCGCACGGCCAAGTCTCAGACCGTGACGGTGAGGACGAACGTGACACTGGTGGACGCGGTGTCGTTGCGATCCGTGGTGGTGGAGATCTTTCACTTGGTCCGGAGCATGCCGGACCCTCGGTCTCTGGTGTCGACTGTGCTACAGCCGATCGTGGTGGAGAGCCGGGAGGACGAGGCTGCGTTGGTTTCGATGGCGGACTTGGGCGCGTTGGGCACGTCGCTGGACAGCTCTGCGGTGTGGTCGGAGTACTGGTCGGTAGACGTGGAAGTTCGCGGGCGCGACACGGACACGTCACTGAGCGCGTTGGTCTTCGACGGTGTGCAGGCCGACGTACGGACGCGCGCTGGCGGTAGCGTGTCGAATGTGTCGAATGTGGCTTTGTCAACGCTGGCGTCAAACGGATCGGACGGGTCGGCAGCAGGCTTGCTGCAGGTGTACCCGGTGGCGTCATTCTCGGGTGTATTCCGTGGTTCTTTGTTGCTGGTGATCCGGGAGAAGCGGAATGCGGCGCAGCGGGTGGAAGTGGTGCGTCCGCTGGCGATCTCATGGCGGCGTCGCGACCTGGACCTGTCTGTGGCGCTGCGCTCGATGGTATTCGTGAACGAGACGGTATCGTTGCCGCCGAGACAATTAGTGTTTGTGTTTTTGGATCACCGCGTCTGCGTTGCTGGTCGACGCTCGGCTGGACGTGCAGAGCGTGAGCATGGCGGTTCCTCGTTGGAGCGACTTCGTGCTGCTGCACCGCGTGAAGAGCGATGGTGGATGGCAAGTGTCGGGCGAGTTGCAGTCGAGCGATGCGAGGTGGCTGAAGACTGCGGAGGTGGTTCTGGCGCCGCGCACGGCCAAGTCTCAGACCGTGACGGTGAGGACGAACGTGACACTGGTGGACGCGGTGTCGTTGCGATCCGTGGTGGTGAGGGTCTCTCACTTGGTCCGGAGCATGCCGGACCCTCGGTCTCTGGTGCCGACTGCACTGCTACAGCCGATCGTGGTGGAGAGCCGGGAGGACGAGGCTGCGTTGGTTTCGATGGCGGACTTGGGCGCGTTGGGCACGTCGCTGGACAGCTCTGCGGTGTGATCGGAGTACTGGTCGGTAGACGTGGAAGCTCGCGGGCGCGGCATGGACACGTCACTGAGCGCGTTGGTCTTCGACGGTGTGCAGGCCGACGTACGGACGCGCGCTGGCGGTAGCGTGTCGAATGTGTCGAATGTGGCTTTGTCAACGCTGGCGTCAAACGGATCGGACGGGTCGGCAGCAGGCTTGCTGCAGGTGTACCCGGTGGCGTCATTCTCGGGTGTATTCCGTGGTTCTTTGGTGCTGGTGATCCGGGAGAAGCGGAATGCGGCGCAGCGGGTGGAAGTGGTGCGTCCGCTGGCGATCTCATGGCGGCGTCGCGACCTGGACCTGTCTGTGGCGCTGCGCTCGATGGTATTCGTGAACGAGACGGTATCGTTGCCGCCGAGGCAATTAGTGTTTGTGTTTTTGGATCACGCGTCTGCGTTGCTGGTCGACGCTCGGCTGGACGTGCAGAGCGTGAGCATGGCGGTTCCTCGTTGGAGCGACTTCGTGCTGCTGCACCGCGTGAAGAGCGATGGTGGATGGCAAGTGTCGGGCGAGTTGCAGTCGAGCGATGCGAGGTGGCTGAAGACTGCGGAGGTGGCTCTGGCGCCGCGCACGGCCAAGTCTCAGACCGTGACGGTGAGGACGAACGTGACACTGGTGGACGCGGTGTCGTTGCGATCCGTGGTGGTGGAGATCTTTCACTTGGTCCGGAGCATGCCGGACCCTCGGTCTCTGGTGTCGACTGTGCTACAGCCGATCGTGGTGGAGAGCCGGGAGGACGAGGCTGCGTTGGTTTCGATGGCGGACTTGGGCGCGTTGGGCACGTCGCTGGACAGCTCTGCGGTGTGGTCGGAGTACTGGTCGGTAGACGTGGAAGTTCGCGGGCGCGACATGGACACGTCACTGAGCGCGTTGGTCTTCGACGGTGTGCAGGCCGACGTACGGACGCGCGCTGGCGGTAGCGTGTCGAATGTGTCGAATGTGGCTTTGTCAACGCTGGCGTCAAACGGATCGGACGGGTCGGCAGCAGGCTTGCTGCAGGTGTACCCGGTGGCGTCATTCTCGGGTGTATTCCGTGGTTCTTTGGTGCTGGTGTTCCGAAACAAGCGGAATGCGGCACAGTGGGTGGAAGTGGTGCGTCCGCTGGCGATCTCATGGCGGCGTCGCGACCTGGACCTGTCTGTGGCGCTGCGCTCGATGGTATTCGTGAACGAGACGGTATCGTTGCCGCCGAGGCAGTTAGTGTCTGTGGCTTTGGATCGCGCGTCTGCGTTGCTGGTCGACGCTCGGCTGGACGTGCAGAGCGTGAGCATGACGGTTCCTCGTTGGAGCGACTTCGTGCTGCTGCACCGCGTGAAGAGCGATGGTGGATGGCAAGTGTCGGGCGAGTTGCAGTCGAGCGATGCGAGGTGGCTGAAGACTGCGGAGGTGGTTCTGGCGCCGCGCACGGCCAAGTCTCAGACCGTGACGGTGTGGACGAACGTGACACTGGTGGACGCGGTGTCGTTGCGATCCGTGGTGGTGAGGGTCTCTCACTTGGTCCGGAGCATGCCGGACCCTCGGTCTCTGGTGTCGACTGCACTGCTACAGCCGATCGTGGTGGAGAGCCGGGAGGACGAGGCTGCGTTGGTTTCGATGGCGGACTTGGGCGCGTTGGGCACGTCGCTGGACAGCTCTGCGGTGTGGTCGGAGTACTGGTCAGTAGACGTGGAAGTTCGCGGGCGCGACACGGACACGTCACTGAGCGCGTTGGTCTTCGACGGCGTGCAGGCCGACGTACGGACGCGCGCTGGCGGTAGCGTGTCGAATGTGTCGAATGTGGCTTTGTCAACACTGGCGTCAAACGGATCGGACGGGTCGGCAGCAGGCTTGCTGCAGGTGTACCCGGTGGCGTCATTCTCGGGTGTATTCCGGTGCTGGTGTTCCGGGAGAAGCGGAATGCGGCGCAGCGGGTGGAAGTGGTGCGTCCGCTGGCGATATCATGGCGGCGTCGCGACCTGGACCTGTCTGTGGCGCTGCGCTCGATGGTATTCGTGAACGAGACGGTATCGTTGCCGCCGAGGCAGTTAGTGTCTGTGGCTTTGGATCGCGCGTCTGCGTTGCTGGTCGGCGCTCGGCTGGACGTGCAGAGCGTGAGCATGGCAGTTATTCGTTGGAGCGACTTCGTGCTGCTGCACCGCGTGAAGAGCGATGGTGGATGGCAAGTGTCGGGCGAGTTGCAGTCGAGCGATGCGAGGTGGCTGAAGACTGCGGAGGTGGTTCTGGCGCCGCGCACGGCCAAGTCTCAGACCGTGACGGTGTGGACGAACGTGACACTGGTGGACGCGGTGTCGTCGCAATCTGTGGTGGTGGAGATCTCTCACTTGGTCCGGAGCATACCGGACCCTCGGCCTCTGGTGTCGACTGCACTGCTACAGCCGATCGTGGTGGAGAGCCGGGGAGGACGAGGCTGCGTTGGTTTCGATGGCGGACTTGGGCGCGTTGGGCACGTCGCTGGACAGCTCTGCGGTGTGTTTGGAGTACTGGGTCGGTAGACGTGGAAGCTCGCCGGGCGCGACATGGACACGTCACTGAGCGCGTTGGTTCTTCGACGGCGTGCAGGGCGACGATACGGACGCGCGCTGGCCGGTAGCGTGTCGAATGTGGCTTTGTCAACGCTGGCGTCAAACGGATCGGACGGGTCGGCAGCAGGCTTGCTGCAGGTGTACCCGGTGGCGTCATTCTCGGGTGTATTTCGTGGTTCTTTGGTGCTGGTGTTCCGGGACAAGCGGAATGCGGCACAGTGGGTGGAAGTGGTGCGTCCGCTGGCGATCTCATGGCGGCGTCGCGACCTGGACCTGTCTGTGGCGCTGCGCTCGATGGTATTCGTGAACGAGACGGTATCGTTGCCGCCGAGGCAGTTAGTGTTTGTGTTTTTGGATCGCGCGTCTGCGTTGCTGGTCGACGCTCGGCTGGACGTGCAGAGCGTGAGCATGGCGGTTCCTCGTTGGAGCGACTTCGTGCTGCTGCACCGCGTGAAGAGCGATGGTGGATGGCAAGTGTCGGGCGAGTTGCAGTCGAGCGATGCGAGGTGGCTGAAGACTGCGGAGGTGGCTCTGGCGCCGCGCACGGCCAAGTCTCAGACCGTGACGGTGAGGACGAACGTGACACTGGTGGACGCGGTGTCGTTGCGATCCGTGGTGGTGAGGGTCTCTCACTTGGTCCGGAGCATGCCGGACCCTCGGTCTCTGATGTCGACTGCACTGCTACAGCCGATCGTGGTGGAGAGCCGGGAGGACGAGGCTGCGTTGGTTTCGATGGCGGACTTGGGCGCGTTGGGCACGTCGCTGGACAGCTCTGCGGTGTGGTCGGAGTACTGGTCGGTAGACGTGGAAGTTCGCGGGCGCGACATGGACACGTCACTGAGCGCGTTGGTCTTCGACGGCGTGCAGGCCGACGTACGGACGCGCGCTGGCGGTAGCGTGTCGAATGTGTCGAATGTGGCTTTGTCAACGCTGGCGTCAAACGGATCGGACGGGTCGGCAGCAGGCTTGCTGCAGGTGTACCCGGTGGCGTCATTCTCGGGTGTATTCCGTGGTTCTTTGGTGCTGGTGTTCCGGGAGAAGCGGAATGCGGCGCAGCGGGTGGAAGTGGTGCGTCCGCTGGCGATTTCATGGCGGCGTCGCGACCTGGACCTGTCTGTGGCGCTGCGCTCGATGGTATTCGTAAACGAGAGGGTATCGTTGCCGCCGAGGCAGTTAGTGTCTGTGGCTTTGGATCGCGCGTCTGCGTTGCTGGTCGGCGCTCGGCTGGACGTGCAGAGCGTGAGCATGGCAGTTCCTCGTTGGAGCGACTTCGTGCTGCTGCACCGCGTGAAGAGCGATGGTGGATGGCAAGTGTCAGGCGAGTTGCAGTCGAGCGATGCGAGGTGGCTGAAGACTGCGGAGGTGGCTCTGGCGCCGCGCACGGCCAAGTCTCAGACCGTGACGGTGTGGACGAACGTGACACTGGTGGACGCGGTGTCGTTGCGATCCGTGGTGGTGAGGGTCTCTCACTTGGTCCGGAGCATGCCGGACCCTCGGTCTCTGATGTCGACTGCACTGCTACAGCCGATCGTGGTGGAGAGCCGGGAGGACGAGGCTGCGTTGGTTTCGATGGCGGACTTGGGCGCGTTGGGCACGTCGCTGGACAGCTCTGCGGTGTGGTCGGAGTACTGGTCGGTAGACGTGGAAGTTCGCGGGCGCGACATGGACACGTCACTGAGCGCGTTGGTCTTCGACGGCGTGCAGGCCGACGTACGGACGCGCGCTGGCGGTAGCGTGTCGAATGTGTCGAATGTGGCTTTGTCAACGCTGGCGTCAAACGGATCGGACGGGTCGGCAGCAGGCTTGCTGCAGGTGTACCCGGTGGCGTCATTCTCTCGGGTGTATTCCGTGGTTCTTTGGTGCTGGTGTTCCGGGACAAGCGGAATGCGGCGCAGCGGGTGGAAGTGGTGCGTCCGCTGGCGATCTCATGGCGGCGTCGCGACCTGGACCTGTCTGTGGCGCTGCGCTCGATGGTATTCGTAAACGAGAGGGTATCGTTGCCGCCGAGGCAGTTAGTGTCTGTGGCTTTGGATCGCGCGTCTGCGTTGCTGGTCGGCGCTCGGCTGGACGTGCAGAGCGTGAGCATGGCAGTTCCTCGTTGGAGCGACTTCGTGCTGCTGCACCGCGTGAAGAGCGATGGTGGATGGCAAGTGTCGGGCGAGTTGCAGTCGAGCGATGCGAGGTGGCTGAAGACTGCGGAGGTGGTTCTGGCGCCGCGCACGGCCAAGTCTCAGACCGTGACGGTGAGGACGAACGTGACACTGGTGGACGCGGTGTCGTCGCAATCTGTGGTGGTGGAGATCTCTCACTTGGTCCGGAGCATACCGGACCCTCGGCCTCTGGTGTCGACTGCACTGCTACAGCCGATCGTGGTGGAGAGTCGGGAGGACGAGGCTGCGTTGGTTTCGATGGCGGACTTGGGCGCGTTGGGCACGTCGCTGGACAGCTCTGCGGTGTGGTCGGAGTACTGGTCTGTGGATGTGGTATTACGTGGTGTGAACGTAGCTACTTCAGTTACAGGTGCGTCGCTGTCTGGGGTTCCTTTAAAGAAAACGGTTCGGGGCCATGGCCGTGTAGTGGAATGGATTTATAAAGATTTTTCGCTTCAAAGGCTGCTGGACACCGGGGTCTATGGCAACAGTGGCGGAACACTGGAGTTATACCTGCACAAACTTTTGGGAGCCATTTTCAGTGGCGCTGTTGTGTTTTCCTTCCACTCCAAGGAGACATCGATGGAGACTGTAGAGGTATCGCGTCCTCTACGGGTTTATTGGAAAGCGAATGCTGTGGACGAACCCCCGGCCAATGCGGCTCTCGTCTTCGGCCCGTTCGTGTTACGATCCATGGTACTGAAGAATAAGACTGTTTCCATTTCTCTACGATCTTTGGTTCGTGTGGCAGTTGAAAAATCTTTGATGGTGAAGACTCACGCTCATTTGGAATTTGGAAGTATCGATCTGAAGCTTTCCGAGTGGTCCGGTTGGGTGATGATGCATCGTAGAAGCGGTGAGTGTGAGTGGAATGTAGCGAGCGCTGTTCATTCTTCAAATTCGAGCTGGGCAAAGCAGAGGGAGGTGGTACTAGCCCCACAAGATAACAAAGTGCCTGCTGTTACTTTGTTTGCGAATGTTACATTCGTGGAGGTTACTACTGGAAGTCTGGTGGTGGTGTCAACTGAACACACTGTTCAAGTGGTGGTTGACCCGAGACTACTTCTGCAGGACGCACTTCATGATGCTGTGGTGTTTGAGGCAGAGTATCAGACTCCTATCAGCCTGCCCGCTGACCCAGTTGGGGTTGTTTCAATGCTCGAAGAGCGCAACAGCTCAGCGTGGATCGTAAATGGTAAATTGAGAAGCGCTCACCGCAATGGTATCAGTAATCTCACAGTTGACGGCCACAATTTGACTCATCGGGGACCCTCGTTACGTAAGACCTGGGTTATATCTCGACAGGATCTCACTGACGGTAAATCTGTGTTGATTACTCCAGCCGATGCGTTCTCCGGCGTGGTCGGTCTCTCATTTGGCTATATTTTTACGGAACCTATCACAATGATGAAGGTGGAGGTAGATATGAGAATTTTGCTGTATTGGATGCCTGCACCGAAGGAAGTCGATCCTGTTTCGATGGAGCTAACGACCGATGAAAGCCGTAATGCGACGATATCGGGGGAGGTGCTGGACGCACTTATCGCAACTGTGTTCGTGGACCCCGCCTACAGGAGAGACGCCCTGCTCTTCACTTCATCTACGCCATTAAATTTTACCGTGCACCTAGACAAGTCGGACGGATATCAGCTAGTCCCTGCCAACCCGTATTTCTCGGGCTTCGCAACATTAACGTTGAGGGCAGTTCTTCAAGATGCAAACATCCCAGTAGGCGATACGTCTGCAAGCCGTCGCCACTTTGACGCACTTCCTAACGTCACGGTTGTAGTGACAGTCGAACTCTTCATAGCGCCAGTGGCCACCGCTCCAGTAGTGAACGCCACCGCTGTGCGATCGACAGCACCTTTAGGAACTGCGATTGTGCTCTCAATCGGTGCCATCTCACTACGGGACGTGGATGGGTCGGAAGAATTGTCTGTCGAGCTGGCAACGGAGATGGACTTGGACGCTGTCGCTGTCTTTTTCAACGGACAGCTACTTCAGCCGCTGCCAGCACCCGAGACCGAGTCCAGCACTAGCGCTGGTGAGATGATATTGGAGAAGACGGCTTTGTCGCGCGTTGTATACGCGCTGCCCATCCCGACTTCTACGGACGGTATCATGGACGCCGACGTTATGCTCATAGCGGCGGACAATCTCTTTACTGGCCGATTCAGCGTCTCTCTTACGGCGACGTCCCGTGAGCTTTACTTTACGAACACGTCGAATGCATCATCGGCTTCATCGCTTTTTTCGGCTGAGGTGGGGTGGATGGCGGAGCCTACTGTCTACTACACCAAGCCGTTGGCCTTTTGGCTCAGAGGACAGAAAGACACACCCGTGTCTATTGCACTAAGCAATATTCGAGGAAGGCTACAGGCTGAAACCCCGTCGAGCGATACTAACAAGCTGGTGTACGGTCCATGCCGACTCGCGTGGGATACAGATCGAGTGCAGGCAGTGTTTGTGGACGAGGAGCGTATGTCGATGCCTGTTTCGGTCGGTGGCTTGTTGTTTGCGGAGAATCCAAAGTTTAAGTTCAACACATCAGAGAACTTGAGTGTGCTTTCAGGGCAAGGCTACTATGGCGAAGTGACTATCTCACTGTCTGTAGACGTATACTCATCGACGTTGAACCAAGTGTATATGCTTACGGGAAGACTGCGGATATCGGTGGTTCCTACAGCAAGTAGTCGTATTCTTACAATGACGCCGAACGGGTCAGCTCCGATCCACGTGGGGTACAACCGCAAACTGGATGTGGTGGTTAGTGAGGTCATCGCGCAAAGTGGACTATACCACCCCGACGGAGAGGTCATGTTGCTCCGTGCAGGTGTTGACAATGCGGACGCTGTGCTGAACGTGCCGGATCTGCCGTTTTGGAGGTACGAGGCTCCTGCTGTGAGTAAGGGTCTTTGGACCCCGAACGCCATCTTCGTGTTTGACGAGGGAGCTGCGAGCATGAATAGTACGCTAAATATTTTGTCTCCTCGAGACTTTGTGGGCAGCTTGCCTATGACGATACAGTCTGTGACATTGACGAGCCGTCTGAGCTGGTGGTAGGTGAGGCGATGACCGAAGCTTGTCACTCGAAACACACATGGGTAACTATTGTCGACGTCGATAGTGGAGACCGTTCTGCTAACACAGTGGAACCACGCGCAAGCGCCTCGGTTTAACGTGGTGAACGCGAGTTCAAGAGTGTACGAGGACGAGTTAGGTGTGTTGACGATCTCTGAGTTGTCGGTGGCGGAGTTGGATGCTACGGCTCCAGATGTCGACGTGTCTCTAGAGGTGTTACTACCGCAGAATTGCAACTTGTCCGTGTCAGTCAATGGGACGGCAGCGCTGGCAAGCGGCAGTGAGACGCTGGACGACACGTTGTACGCTGTGGTGCCGGTTTCTGTGGAATCGAAGGTTGTGCACATCATTGCTAAGCCGAGTCATTCGACGCACGTGAACGCGTTCCTCCGCGCGTCTGTGTATGCGTTCAGCAGTTGGAATTGTACGTCACTTCCGGTGGCATTGGAGTTCCTGACTGTTGCAGAGAAGCCGACGCTGTCTATCATGATGACGAACACGTCGACCCACGAGGATGGTGTCTTTACTGGAACCATTTCGGTGGTGCCGACGAAGGAGAAATTGCTTTACCGCATTCAAGCTTACTATCCGTCCGAGTTTATCGCCCAAGTAGAAGATCGCAACTGGATAGAAGTCAACCGCTCAGACGGCGGGGGCTTTAGCCTGGACGAAGAGGCTGGGATGGTCAACAGAACCAGCAATAAAAGTGGCCTGACTTGGCCTACAAGCTCGGAAGGAACTACTGGTCACTTCGTATCGTTGATTGAGACAGGCCTCGTAGACGAACCAACAATGATCCCATTGTGGCTGGTACCTGTTGCGAAGATGTCGGGAAATTTAAGTGTGGACATTGTCGTGGTAGCGCTCACAACGGATGTGGACTGGGACCTGTTCGAGTCCAAGTGCTTTCAAGATATTTTCAGTAACGAAGGTGTATACAAGTGCCTACCGATCGAGCAAAGGAAGTCTGTAGCAACTGTATCCGAGTCGATAGATCTGATGATTTATCCGGTTGCAGAGGCCCCAAGAATTGCAGTGTCTCCAGCAGAGATTTCCATCACGGAGAATGATGTCGCGACTTTCTCACTGAGCAATTGGACGCTTGGAGATGTCGATGGGTCTGAAGAGATGTATCTCACTCTAAGATGTGAGCGCGGTACATGGAGAGGGGTATCTGATGACGGCGTGGCGGTCGAAGCCACTGCACATAGTACGTCAACAAACGACAATGCTGGTGCTGCTTCAACTACGGTCTTCGAGCTACTGCCAATTGGCGTCTACGGGACCGAAAGGAGCACCAATCTAAGCGTGGAGTTGACCCCACCGTCGTATTTCTCTGGACCCATCGACTGTCGACTTGTGGTGCACGCCATTGACCGCAGCGGTGGGTTCGTCGCGGAAGACACGTACGAGACGCCGTTGAGCGTGACAGTTGTAGCGGAGGCGACGGTGCCTCTCATCTCGATTGCGACGACAAACTTGACAGCGGTGGAGGATGGCGTCGTTGTGTGCGATTCGGTTTTGGCGTCACTGGTAGATGTGGACGGGTCGGAGACACTGTTCTTAGTGGTGGACCTGGGAGAGTATGAAGCGTACGTGACGTCGGCAACGTGGCGCTCGGATGCCGCGGCTGTGATGTTGTCGACGCAAGAAGAAGGTGTGGTTCCTTCCTGGGTGTACGGTAGTCCGTCACAGCGGATGGTAGCCGCGGAAGCGGGTAGTGTGGAGATGTATGGCACTGTAGAGATCGAACTGGTAGCAGGGTACAGCGGAGAGCTGAGCTTCAGTATGTGGAGTGCGTCAGTGGAAAAGGTGTACCTCACTTCTTCCAGCTTCACCAATGCTGCCATCGCGGCGGCACCCTCAGTTTCGATAGACGTTTTCATCTCGCCTGTAGCGAATTCGCCTCTATTGGATGTCACACTTGTGCAACCTGTGTCACGCGTGGGCACGGCGATTGTGCTGTCAATTGGCTCCATTTCGCTACGGGACTTGGATGGCTCGGAGGAGCTGTCCGTCGAGCTGGCGGCTGCAGTGGAGCTGGATACGGTGGCTGTGTTTTTCAACGGACAGTTAGTCAAGCCGAAACCATTTGCTGAGCTTGGGCCTAGTAAAAACGACAGCGGGACGGCATCACCAGAGACGCCGAACGAGAGTTCACCGCGTGCTCTGTACGCGCTACCTGTGCAGACATTTACGGACGGTATCGTGGACGCCGAGGTCATGCTCGTGGCGACGAATGGCATGGTTTCAGGCAAGTTCAATGTCTCCATTACGGCGACGTCCCGTGAGCTTTACATTTCACAAGCGTCGGATACGTCTCGGGCCTCAACAGTTATAGCGGCTGAGGTGGGGTGGGTGGTGGAGCCCACGGCAAGCCGATGGACTTTTGGTTTGAAGGACTACACCTTTGCCAGGTCAAGATGGTGCTACTCCACTTCAAAGTGGTGAAGTAACTAAACCTTTTTAAAAATTATTCTCAATTTTTACATTAGAGTTTATGTCACTTTCACAAATATGTCGAGTAAACGCACTCCGTACTTCAAAGTGGTTTATTCGCAGTTCAAAGCGGATCAACCCTCCTGAGCGTGTGCGCGAGCACTTCATTGTCATTCCTCGCTCTCTCTTATCAATCTTTTACCAAGGCCCTCAACCAAGCCAAGCCTCTACCTACCCCAAGATGCCCAGAGCCCCGCACCTCGCATTTGCCAGAGCTCGTGTCCTCGACTGCCTCCGTGTCGGCGGTGACTGGACGCTTGTGGCCGCCCACAACGGAATCCCCGCCACCACATCACGTCGATTTGTGGAAGCAAACGGAAGCACACGTTGCTGAACGAGCCGACTTGGTACTTGTACGGCTGGCTCCGTACTCTTCAATATGTAACCCCATTCAAGGTACGCAGTATACTGTATTACAATATTTTTTTAAATGGCATACTAACCGACTTTTGAACTGGTGCTACAGGGTGTATTAGTGCTTTTAAGGCCACGATCAAGGCCGACCTTGCTTTGCCCCGTAAAGGGCTGGTTGTGGAGCATCCTCGCGGGACGGTTGCGGCTGCTCGGATGGAGAAACTGGAACGCGCGGCGAGACGCCGCATCGGAATATATCGACACGCACCTTGCTAACAGGTTGACACTGCATTGCCAGCATTCCGTTGCTGCCGCGGAGCGCATGGAAGACATGCAGTACGGCACCTAGCTGCAGCTCAGCCTGAGGGGACCACTTTGCTCTGCGTTTTCGCCACTTTGAATTTCCTTTTTAGTGCTACTTTTTCGTAATCAAATTTTTGTTTTCATTTTTTTAAAAAAATCCGGTTTGAAGTGGAGTAGCACCATCTTGGCCTGGCAAAGGTGTAGAAGACACGGCCGTGTCTTTCTCTTCAGTCAGTAGAAAGCTATTAACGAACGTCGGAGTCAACGAAGCTGGAGAGCTAGCGTACGGTTCATGCCGACTCGCGTGGGATGCTGATCAAATCCAGGCGGTGTTTGTAGACGACGAGAAAGCACTGACAAGTGCTCCGTTAGGCGGAGGCTTGACCTCGTTGACATTTGCGGAGTACGAGAAGTTCGAGCTCAACACATTAGAGAACTTGAGTGTGATTCCAGGGCAAGGCTACTATGGCGAAGTGACTATCTCACTGTCTGTAGACGTATACTCATCGACGTTGAACCAAGTGTATATGCTTACGGGAAGACTGCGGATATCGGTGGTTCCTACAGCAAGTAGTCGTATTCTTACAACGACACCGAACGGGTCAGCTCCGATCCACGTGGGGTACAACCGCGAGCTGGATGTGGCGTTACACGACGGTGTTGTGGCAAACACACAGTACAAGTCTGCCTCAGAAATTCGGTCCTTGATCGTTAGTGTAGCCGAACATGCAGACGCTACAGTGCGGGCACAAGAACCTTCGCTTTGCGGGTACGGACTTCCTTCAGCAGACAGCACTGCATGGACCACAAACTCCGTGTTTGTACTCGACGAGGAGAGCGAAAGCATGAATAACACGCTAAGTGTAATGCCTCCTCGAGACTATGTGGGTGCCTTGCCTGTGACGATGCAGTCCGTGACATTGACGAGCAGCTTGATCCCATCCGAGCTAGTAATCAGTGAGACGGCGATCGATGTCGTAGATAGCACGACGCTCGCGTGGCTGACGGTCCTATCGACATCGATAGTGGAGACCGTTCTGCCTACACAGTGGAACCACGCTCAAGCGCCTCGGTTTAACGTGGTGAACGCGAGCTCAAGAGTGTACGAGGACGAGTTGGGTGTGTTGACGATCTCTGAGCTGTCGGTGGCGGAGTTGGATGCTACGGCTCCAGATGTGGACGTTTCTCTAGAGGTGTTACTACCGCAGAATTGCAACTTGTCCGTGTCAGTCAATGGGACGACAGCGCTGGCAAGCGGCAGTGAGACGCTGGACGACACGTTGTACGCTGTGGTGCCGGTTTCTGTGGAATCGAAGGTTATGCACATCATTGCTGGGCCGAGTCATTCGACGCACGTGAACGCGTTCCTCCGCGCGTCTGTGTATGCGTTCAGCAGTTAAAATTGTACGTCAATTCAGGTGGCATTGGAGTTCCTGATGGTCGCAGAGAAGCCGACGCTGTCTATTATGATGACGAACTCGTCGACCAACGAGGATGGCGTGTTTACTGGAGCCATTTCGGTGGTGCCGACGAAAGCAGATGTGCTGTTTCGAATTCAAGTTATGTACCCGTCCAGTTATATTTCTCAAGTGGCTAGTACTAGCACTAGCCCGCGCTGGTCTACGGGAGCTGCTGGCATCTCTGGTTCCTTGCTATCATCTTTCTCAACAACCTTGGGTGTCGGTGTAGGGGACGTTCTAACCACTGAGTTGTCCCTCAAACCGATCACGAAGATCTCTGGAAATATCAGCGTGGATGTCATGGTGGTGACTTCGACAGTGGACGTGGCCCAAGACTTCTTCATATCTGACTGCTACCAGCGTGTCTCTAGTAGTTCGGGTGTATTCGAGTGTATACCCTCGTCTCAACGGAAGTCGTTGGCCGTGACGTCCCAGTCGATCGACCTGGTTATTTATCCAGTGGCGGAGGCACCGAGACTCGACGTGACTCCGGCCGTTCTATCGATTACTGAGAATGGCGAAGCTTTTGTTACGCTGAGCAATTGGACTTTGACGGATATTGATGGGTCTGAGCGCATGGATCTCCGTCTCCGGTGCACGCCTACAGCATGGAAGAAAGTGCTTGTTGACGGCATTTTAAGCAATTCTTCTATCCAAGATGCAGCTACGACAACCACTTTTGAGCTACTGTCAGTCGGCGTCTACGGAGGCGAGAAAAGCATCGATCTGAAGGTACAACTGAGTCCACCTTCGTATTATTCTGGGTCTATCGACTGCAGCTTCGCGTCGCACGCCATTGACCGCAGCGGTGGGTTCGTCTCGGAAGATACGTACGAGACACAGTTGAGCGTGACTGTCGTTGCCGAGGCGACGGCTCCACTGGTATCGATCACGTCGACTAACTTCACAGCGGTGGAAGATGGCGTCGCTGTGTGCGATTCGGTGACGGCTTCGCTGGTGGATGTGGACGGGTCGGAGGCGTTGTTCTTGGTCGTGAATCCCGGCGAGTACGAGCAATTCGTGACGTCAGTAACGTGGCGATCGGAAGATACGGTAATGCCGTTCTCAGCGAAAGCGGACGGTGTGGTGCCTACAATGGTATATAGCAGTCCGACACAGCGTGTTGTGGCTGCAGGATCTGGTCGCGTGGAGATGCACGGCAGTGTGGAGATAGGACTAGCTACGGGGTACAGTGGAGAGTTACGCTTGAGCATCGCGAGTGTATCGCTTGAGAAGATTTATCTAGCGTCGACTGTGGCTTCGGATGTTGCTGTTGCACACGCGTCGTCTATTGACATCACTGTAGCCATCAGTCCGATCTGTCATGTGGCCAATGTGGAGTTGAGTCCAGTATCAGCAGTAACGAAGCCGTCGGTGGCGGTTCCGGTTCAGGTGATTGCGTCTACCATCGACACGGATGGCTCGGAGGTTTTGGCAGCCGAAGTATCAGTCAATCGCTCGGCGGTATTGAGTCTTTATGGCACAAATGCGTCGGAGAACTGGCTCACAGATTCCGACCTCGTCACGCTTCCTCGACTACCAACACAGGACGTTTTCCATGGGGATCAGACGTTTACAGTCGTACCGCGTGCTGAATTCGTGGGGTTCTTTATAGTGAACGTAACGGTGAAGACGACCGAGTTGGCGACTGGGGAAATCAAGTTTAAAACCGTCGTTGCTACAGTGCTAGTGACTTCAGTAGACCCCGTTGTTCGTGTCAGTGCCGTATCTCGTGGGTCTTGGAACGAATTCATCCACTTACCGTTCCAGAGACTAGATATACAACAGGAAGACGTCACGCGCGAGAATCTTTTGCTTTACGTGGAGAACCGGACCCAAGTCGCTGATGTTTACGCTGGGTTTATGCGGTTGACGCCTGTTACGCTGGGAGCAGTGAATGTCTACGTGGTTCCCTACACTTTACGCGATGTGGTTAGCGTCCGACCGCCGCAGTATTGGTACGGTTCTGTAAAGCTCTTCGCTATCGTGACGACCGTGGCTTTTGACGTCGTCTCGACACCTAATCGAACTGCATACCAAGGCACCGGAGACGGTATTGTCATCATAGATTTACCCGTGATAATCCATCCGCGACCAGTCTCTCCGTCGTACAGTCTTGCCACATCTTCGGATGTTTCAGTGTCTGGAAAGCCCATTTCTGTGACTTTTAACGCCGTTCTCCCATCTGATGCATGGGGAAGTTCGACGGGAGGGATGGCGACTCAGCTGGTAGTCGCACCTTTTAGTTTTACGGACTCTGTATCGGTAAACCGGACTGTGACGGTGAGTAAAGCTGCCGTACGTGGAGCTCGCGCGTATGGAACAAACTCTTCTAGTAGTATCGTGGGCGAGACACACATACGCTTCATCGTCGAAACGAATACTCTGTACACGGGAATGCTCTTAACGACTGTGGTGTTAATCACCACCGACGTCCTCCGACAGACTACAGTGGCCAATGGTTCTAACAGCAAGGCGCAGCTGATAGGAGAAGCTGATCGAGGAATGCTGGGCTTTGGGGAAACCATTCGTGTGTTCCGAGTTGAGGACAACCAGAACGTCACGTTCCGTCTGGCAGACTTTGGCTTGATGAGTGAATTGACTGACCTAGTGAGCGTACAAGCGTTTATCATGGAGAACGCCGTTGACGCTGTGGTGATCGGATCCACGCAGCTAAATGGAGATACCGACTCGCAGTGGGGAGCGACGGTGCAATTTAGAGATTCACGCTACGAACTCTACGGGAACAAGAGTCCGGCTTGTTTAGGTGATGTTGAACCAGCGTGTCTACTTGACCGAGTTGTGACAATCACACCCCGCAGATATACAGCACAGACGTTCGACATGACGATAAGGGTCACATCGAGAGTCTCAGCTAACGACAGCTTCTTCGGGTCGCTGTCGACTGTCACTACAATTGCCAGATGCCGAGTGACGGTGGCACCTGTACCGAATACGCCGCTGTTGGTGCTAAACACTACTGCAGTGACGACGCTGGAGGACACAGCTGCTGCGTTTTCGATCCTTGAGGCTTCTACACCCGATCGAGACGGATCTGAGGTGATTGAAGTGGAGATGAGCTTTGATCCGCACTATCTCGATACGATTCAAGTGGATGGAGTGGCAGTGACAACTTCAACAGTGGCCGACACGGTGGTGCTCATTCCTCGCAGCGCCGCAGTCTCTAGTGTAGCTAATCGGGTTGTCTCTCTTCGCCCTCGCCGGAATTTCGACGGGAATTTCACGATTCAACTTGCTGTTGCCAGTATCGAGCTATCGACAGGTGAGCGTACTCGAGTCTCGACGAATGTAACTGTGGCAGTCGTAGCCGTCGCGGACGCGCCAGTGCTTCGAATCGGCACGTCTGAGCTTCATGTGAACCAGAACGTCGCTGCAGAGCTGACGATCACCTCAGTGGGTCTGACGGATGACGACAATTCCGAGACTCTTCGTCTCGTGGTGGTCGATCCTAGTAGAAGCGCTCTCAAGACTGTGGAAGTGATCGGAGGTGAACCGTTCGTGAAGAGCAGTGCAGTCAGTACATTCGTGCTGCCTTTGGTGCATCTACCTACTCTAACGCTTCGACTCACTACGATTGGCACGTGGTTCGGCTCCACGCAGCTTCAAATCAACGCCGTATCCCGGGAGTCAACTAACGGCAACGAGGTCACTACAACCGCCTTTGTGACGTTTACGGTATACCCTGTGGCGGATGCCCCGACGCTTGTGGTGGAGAACACTCAGGGACAGTTAACTCGACCCGCTCGGATTGGTCTTGTGTCGGTGGGTATTCCAATCGAATGCAAGTTAAATGCGACGTTGTTGAACGTGTATTTACTCCCCCGATCAAGTGACGCTATCGAAGTCAAGTGGCAGTCTCAAGTGCTGCCATTAACTCTAGCAGATGTATCGACTTCTGCGGTGTATAGACTCCCGTCCACCAGTGCACTACAGCAGCCGACGCTTACCGTAAGCACTACCAAATGGGTGAGCTCGGTAAGCTTCGAGATCGTGGCCGTGGCATCAATTAGCGCTTCCAGTACGACGCAGCGTACGTCACAAGTTGTTACGGTGACATTTGGAGCGATTCAGCTATTCGCGACGAGTTTCAGTCTTACGGAAGGTGCAACGGGAACGCTGTCGCTTACATTGCTCAGTGCGCCAGTAAGTCCCGTAACTGTAACGCTAATCAGTACTCTAAGCGCTAAGGCAGTCATAGTACCCACGACAGCTACGCTTACTGCTGCGGACTGGAATATCGCCAAGACTATTCAGATCCAAGCAGTGGACAACTTCTTAGAAGACGCAAAAGCAGTTGCTACGATCACTGGAGCGACAACGTCCACTGATGCAGTCTACTCGGGTTATATGATACCAGCTGTAACTGTGGACGTTCTAAACGACGACATCTCCAGCTTCGCTGTCTACCAAGGAAGCTCAAAACCTACCGCTCCGACGCTGGTCGTCGCTGAGGGACAGGTGTTTACGGACACGTTCAACATCGTACTGCAAGCGCAGCCTACCGCGGATGTGTCTGTGGCATACAGCACTTCTCTTGCGCTCCTTGCTGTATCTCCGACTAGTGTAACCTTCACGCCTTCGACCTGGAACGTATCGAAAGCAATTACAGTGGCAGCAGACGACAATTTCGCAGTCGACGGCGATAGAACGGCGACGATATCGTCAGTGGTGTCGAGCAATGATCCGCTGTACGCAGCCAAGACAATCGCCACTTTGAGCGTCAAGATCGTCGAAACGAAGGACACGACGCCACCTCCGAAGCTCCTCGACGTCAAGTTCCTGGACACAGCTGCAGGCCTCACAATCACGTTTGACCGAGCGGTTTATTGTACAGTGTACACGTCCGACAGCTTCGCCTGCAGCGTACTGTTCGACCTCCCTTCAGCGACGGATTCAACGAACTACTATGGCGTATCTCCAACGTGTACGTGGCTGACAGGGTCGACGTCTATTCGATTCGTATTCGGACAAGGAGTTAGAGTTGTACCGGGCAGTACCTTAACATTACGGGGCAGTCTGTTAAAGTCTACAGCTTCAGCAGAGCTGGCAACTCCTGCGACAACTGTGACGATCAGCTCGCCGGATAAACCTCCACACCCACAGGTGCTAGTGAGTGGTGCCTCCTCTCTTGGTATGTGCGACGATCTCGTGTTGGATGGCTCCAGTTCGTCCGGATCAGGCGGCCGACCCATGACGTACACATGGATGCTGGTCAACACGACAAACGTGACTTCCGCCTCTCTAGATGCTGTCGCAGCTCTGCTAACGTCGGCTACGACCACAAACAACGCCACGATCAAACTCGCTGCGTCTGTACTGGAAGCAGACGGCACGTACTCGTTTATTCTTCTCGCCAAGAACCTTTTCGGGAAAACAGGCAACTCGAACGAGGTCCTCGTCAAGAAATCGGGCATGGCTCTGCCGTCTGTGTCCATTAAGGGCGGAAATCTACAGGGAGCTTATCGCGCTAACGAACTGGCGATTACAGCTTCTGCTAGCTACCCATCGTGTTCTGGGCCAGTGTCTACGGATACGGATGCGTCAGCATCCACTGGTGTGGACATGACGTGCTCCTGGCTCCAAGTATCGGGAGATCTGACCCCGACGCAGCTCAAATCGACCAGTCCGAACCCGCGTATCCTCAAACTACCAGCCAGAACACTGACTGTAGGGTGTTCCGGCTTGTAGTGGCCATGACGTCCAACCCGAAGGTAAGCAACAGTGCAGACGTGCAGATTGGCGTAGCGCGCACAGACTTGACGGCGCTGATAGCGGCTGGGAATCGGTCGATAGGCGTGGAGCACGATCTGGTGCTGGATGCGTCGTCGTCCGTGGACCTAGACGACGTGCATAACTCTGTATCGATGCAGTACTCGTGGACGTGCCGGGATCTAAACGGAACGACCCAAGTGTACGACGTGGCGTGCTTAGCTGTTACTGGAGAGGCCTTAATGCTCGACACAGAGGCGAAGATCACAGTGGCTGCGAATACGGTGAACCCGAATATGGCGTACAAGTTCGCTCTAACTGTATCCAAAGACACGCGGTCAAGCAGCACTAGTGTGTTTATAACCGTGAAGCCTGGATCACCGCCTAAGGTGTCGATCGAAGCTTTAGGCTCCGCGAAGGTAAACGCAAACGATCGAGTGGTTTTCAAGGGAAAGGCGGTGTCTAAGCTGCCAATATCCAAGACGGAGTGGACGCTCGTAGGGGCTTCGGACTCGACGATGAGCTCCATCTTCGCCGTCCCTCGAGGACGTCTGATGATGCTTCTGAGCGAGGGGAAACTCACACCTGGAGTGTCGTACAAGTTCCAACTTAGCGCGACGGATTCCTCTGGTCAGACTGGGTCAGCGACGATTACAGTCACAGCGAACTCGCCTCCTAGTAGCGGCTCGCTAACTGTAACGCCGTCGCTCTGGAAGACAAGTTCTCTGTACTTGCAAGCGACTGGGTCGACGAGGACTTGCCGCTGAAGTACACGTTCAAGTACATCAAAGGTGCAACGTATTCTGGAGATAATGAGATCGCTCTGGGAGCGTCCACACCAGATGCACTCTTTCTATCGCAGCTTGGGATGGGTGGAGGAGACAACAACACGGTCACGCTGGTAGTGTACGTCCAAGACGCGCTAGGGGCGACGACGCGAGTGACGAAAGAGATTCAAGTTAAGCCGATGCTGGTGGCTGCAGCGGACCAGGCGGCGTATCTGGCCAACAAGACGCACGCCGTGATGGCCGAAGCGCTGACTGGAGATCCAGGGAAGGTGCTAAACACGATCAATGCGCTTGCAGACATGGTGAATGGGAAGGAGGAGACAGCGAACGCAACGACTGGCAATGTATCCACTCCTGCTACTACACTGAAGAGCTGTCCGACGTCGAGCTACGTCGAGTGTGCAGGGAAGGGAAGTTGTGTGCGTGAGCCTTCCGGATGCTTGGCATCGAACGTAGACTGCATTGTGACGTGTGTGTGTGCTAGTGGGTACTACGGCGACAACTGTGCACTGGATGAAGCAGCGATGGCAACGAAGAGTGCGGCATTGGGGACGCTTCTCGGTGCGATGACGAAGGCGTCGGCGTCGGTGGATGTTACGGATATAGGGGCGTTGGAACAACAGGCGGCCAGTGTGGTTACACTGACTAAGAGCGCCACGATCCTCGACTCAAAGTCGCAGAAGCTGGTACTGAATGTTGTGGACAACATCTTGGCAGCGCCCGTGCTCACTCCTGCAGCTACGGCAGCAGTAGGGAACACCATCTCCAACCTTCTAGAGGTCGACAATTCCGGCAAGAAAGCGACGACTCCAGCGGCGACAACGCCGACAGCTATAACGAAGAGTCCAACGCCGACCCCGACAGCCACTGCGAAGCGCCCAACGCCGACACCTACTGCGACTACCAAAATCTCTACACCGACGCCAACGGCAACGACGAAGAATCCTTCGAAGAGTCGACGATTGGCTGAGTCAAGTGGTGATTCCAGCGGTGATACGGACGTTGCGGTCGGCGATACTGACGATGGGTCCTTCGTAGGAGCCGGCTCGGCGACAACGGACGGAAGCATCGGAAGTGCATCGACTTCGAACGGCAGCATCAACACGTCGGACGAGTTTGCGGCTGAAAAGGCCCACGTCACACACGTTACTAGCACTATCGGGAAGCTGCAGACGGCTATGCTGGCATCTGCAGTAGCCGGCGAAGACCCGATCACGCTAGTGACCAAGAACCTCCGTCTTGTGGGAGCTCGGGACACGGCGTCTCAATTCTCCAAAGGAAGAACAGTGCAGCTCCCTCTCAACGCTGCTCAGATCGCAGCCAACTACACACCCGCGTCCACGACGTTCCCGACTGATTTCGCGACGTATCTGAAGAGCTGGACGAACGGCAGTGCGAGCAGTTCGGGAGATGAAGGAACAGACCAAGACGACCCGACCGTGGACTTCCTGTCCAACGTTTTCGCCAAGAACCCGTACGCGTTCGATAACACGTCGATGAACTCGCGCGTCATGACCGTTAAAGTGAGTAGCAACGGCCACGAGGTCGCGGTTCACGGCCTGCAGACGCCTTTCCGCTTGCTCATGAGGAATCTCGTGCCGATCACGTTGCCAGTATTCAACACCAGTGGGGACACCAGAACGTCGTCCAGTGGGAGGGACAGTAACAGCACCGTAACCGGTGCTCAACGCTACACGTTCTACTGCTTGGAAGGTACAATTGATGTTAAGTACTTCAACTGTACGGACATCGAGGAGCCCATGACCGTGCAGTGCAACGGTTCAAGCTACGCCGGTGAAGCTACGTGTCCTGTACGTCGGCCGTCGTGTACGTATTGGGACTCAACGGCCGGGACATGGTCGTCCGACGGCTGTCGAGCTGTGGGCACCACAGACGACGGCCTGTACACGATCTGCGAGTGCACGCATCTGACTGATTTCTCGTCTCAAGTTACGCAGTCGATGAGTCTTGTGACGGAGCATTTCATGAACGTGGTAACCCACCAGGTGACAATCGAAGATGTGGAGGAGAACTTGCTACTTATCCTGACTATGACGGGATTCTTCCTGCTCTACGTTATCGCAGTCTTCTACGTGAATCGCTGGGACTACCGGGACCGTCGTAAAGCTATGCGGGCGCACGGCAGATGAAGAGAGGCTCTGCACCGCCGGATAAGCTCAAGCTGCGGTCTCTGTTCCAGGAACCAGAGTATTTGCAGGCCAAGGACTGGCGCTCCAAGCTGCGTGCTGTGGTCGTAGGCTTTGGACGAGGACTGAAGCAACACCACAAGCTGCTGTCCATCGTGTTCAAGTACAACGAGAGCTTCTCTCGCGCGCAGCGACTGACGGTTGTCTTCACGCTTGTGGCCAGTCACATGTTTGTCAACGCGCTGCTGTACAAGCTCAAGAAAGGACCCAAGAGTGTCGGATCGTCCGTCGTGTGTGCCGTAATCACGACAGTGTGTCTGCTTCCAGTGGGTTTTGTGCTCATGATGATGTTTAAGAAGGCTGGACGGATGCAGACGTACCTCATCCGCTTCCAGGTAGAAGACGACATCGGGAATATCGTGGAGGTGGAGACAGATGCCTACGGACGCACTAAGGAATACTCGCCCGCTGAACAGCTCTCCATGGACTTAGCAGCCCTTGCGCGTGGCGTCAACATGAGCGCTTTATCACTGGTACACGACAAGCTGAAGCAGCGAGAAGGCGGCGATAAACGAGACCGCTTGGAGTCGAGAAGTGGCCAAGTGTGTCGTGGTGTTTTCCTGGCGCTGTATAACCGAGAAGCCGATGTGAAGCCGCCAACTCATCACGAAGGAGACGCCAGTGATGACCCACTTGCTGGCGTATTGGTGCAGATCAAGTCGCATCTACGGGAGCAGAAACTTCAGCCGCACAGAGAGGACACCCACAGACACAGTCGACTTCTGAGCGCCATCCCGTTTCGACGGAGCTCAGCCGAAGGACCATCGGCCGCTTCTGTGACGGACAAAAGTGCTGGAATGATGCCGCCTGCAGCGCCCGTTCAGCTGGATATGAAGCGAATCGACGAGGCTGAGGAAGAGGACCTAGAGATAGACGCGACAGCACGCAAGGCGCTGGCAATGGGCCAATTGTGTGCCATGCTGAAGCGCCAAGGCGGCGAAGCGCTGATCAACAGTATGCTCAAGTTCGACCCGCTTCTGGTTTCCGCGACGACGTCTGCGTCAATCGCTGACATCTGTGAGCGGCTTGACGTTCTCGAAGAAGAAGAGGAGGAAGAAGACGACGCCACTGATGATAGAGACGAGAACGCACGCCCTCAAACGAGCGATGAGGACGAAGAAGCGAAAGCGGTGCTGGCGTTGCAAGCGTGGCTGGTCAAGTGCAACGAGTCCTGTGAAGCGCAGCAGACGAACGCGCGCATAGTCGTCGCCAAGGCGCAGGCAGAACTGGAACGGACAGAGACGCAGCTGAAGAAACTACGCAACGCTATTGGCAACGAGTTTGACCGTCGCATGTCTGAAGCCATGGCGCACGAGCTCAATGGACCAAACGTCAACGATGTCCTCCTTAAGACGCGACAGAGCGGGCGTTGTGTCTCCCGTCGGCCCCCAAACGTCCTGAAGGCTGAGGCATCTGCTCGAGAGGATAGGCGTCGTATCAAAGTGACCATCAAGAAGGACACGAAGGCCGTTCTCAGGGCCAATCAAGCGCAACTTGCTGAGAAGCGCAAGGCCATTAAAAAGGCGAAACGCGCAGCTGCAACGGAGCAGCGTCGACTCAAGCGCGCGCGCAAGCACGAGCAAGATAAGGTGCTTGAAGGATTACGCGGCGTCGCGCGGCTTAAGAGGCGTCTACGCCTGTACATGGAGGCTCGAGAGGAGCGCAAGATAGCGGCATTGCCGCTTCACGAGCGGCAGGCGTATCTGACTGAGAAGGAACAGCTCAAGAAGATCCGACGCACGTCCAGACTGCTGTACAACGCCTTTTTGAGACGCCAGCCAGCGCAACAGTCCAAGCCTTTGCTGCCAGAGTGGGTCGTGTACTTGTCGTACACGATCTGCGCCGTCTGGAGTGCCTGGTGCATCTACTTCGTGCTCATGTTCGCCTTCACTATCGGCCAGGTGGAAGCGCAGCTTTGGGTGACGTCTCTGCTGTCGGGCTTGGCACTTACGTATGTAATCTCGGACCCGCTCAAGGTCTTTTTCTGTATGGGCCTCATGCCTATCATCGCTACTGGAATCTTGGCCAACTCTGGCTTCTTCAGTGCCCTCAGCTCGGAACCAATGTCTTTGGGAGCTACAGTAGTCGCGGCAGGTGCAGGTAACATGACTGGGTATGTGGCGAAGCATCGCGCCGATAGGCGGGAACGACGGACTCAACGCAGACTTTCCAAAGCGAACTCGACGAAACTCGTGCCGGTGAGTACGGCCGAGGAGGAGAACAGTGTGGTGGAAGATATTCCTCAAGCAGATCAAGTGGTGGAGCTTCGACGAGTGGACGCGAACGACAGCGATGGAGAAACGGAGCCGAAGAAGGACGCGTTCACAGACATCACACGAATCAGTGTACGCGACAGTGTGTTTAATAAATCTCCACGTGACGTTCCGAAGCTAACAGTCAAGAGCGGCCCGCCAGTACAGATGCTGCGGTCTAGTGAAGTGGTCAAAGCTGAACCATCGATTGAGCGCACAGCAGTGCTGTCAGAGGTGGCGTCTGGAACTCTTACACGCAAGTGCGTGTGTGGCATGACACTTTTGGAGACGCAGCGGACGGAGCATGAGACGATGCGCTGTTCGCTTCGGATCATAACGTGTCGTGCTGGTTGTGGGAGATTTATGCAGGCGCGAGGACGCGACGCACATGAGCGCAGCCACTGCAGACTTATCATGTGTGAGTGCGGTAAGATGGTGCTTACTCCGTCACTGGAGGCGCATCGCACGCACGAATGCATCGCTGCGGACGCTGACAACAGCTTGCTGTCGCCTAGTGCCGTTCCAGCTGATGGAGACCCAGTCGTACCGTGCAGACTACCTGGTTGTGCAGCGAATATGCGCGCGTCTCGACGTGAAGACCACGAGAAACATGACTGTACGTTTCGACTCATGATGTGCAACTTCTGCGGCGTCGAGGTATCCGTCCGAGAGATGGATACGTATGCATCTAGCGAGTGTACGCTCCGTCGACAGTCTCAACTAACGCTGTGTGCGCGTGGTAAGATGGTAAGGAGAGATTCGATGGAGACACATCAGACGACAGAATGTAGTCGAAGAGAAGCAGCAAGTGACGAGACGGTACGGAGAGCATCTTCCCCACCCATTCTGGTGGTCTGTAGACTGTCGGGCTGTGCTGCGCGCATGGCTGAAGCACTGCGAGAGAGTCACAAACGCGACTGTAGCTTCCGGCTTGTCACGTGTCCGCGATGTTCGACGGAGCGGCCTGCAGTGAACATGGAGGAGCATTTAACGAGCTGTGCGCAACGGAGAAAGAGAAAACTGAGTCTCTGTGTCTGCGGTAAACTCGTGATGAAAGGGGCTGCCCACAGCTGCACGGCAGTTAATTCAGCTCCTACTCATCCGCAGCCACTGCTTGTAGCGTGTCGACTTCCCGGATGCAACGCGCGGATGCGAGCAGCACTTCGCGAGGCCCACGAAAGGCACGAATGCACTTATCGCATGGCCACGTGCACCCAGTGCGGCGTTGGGCGACATGCAGCCGACATGGAGACGCACCTGGCCCATGAATGCGCTCTCCAGCGTGCTCAGCATTCAGTACAGCGGTCCATGAGCGCGTTCGCTCCACCGAGTGTCGCCGTGCCAAAGCTCAACAAGAAATCGATTCGAGGACCCCCCAGTCCCAACAAGAAGACGACAAAGCCACCCCCGATCTCAACTGTGATCGGTAGCGAAGACGAATCGAAGCAGCCTATACGGGGGGTTCCTGCAAGAGCGGGCCCAACAACCAGTGCACTACCAGGGACTGTACAGTCGACAGATGAAGCTATGACAGTCGCTCGGATGCGCGAGAGAGTGCTCGCGCGACGAGAACTGCCAGCAGTATCACGACCAACCCGATCCCAGTCAGTGGCAGTGTCCTCAACAGTTCGGGCCCAGGTGAAACCTCAGCTGTCACCGCCCCGAGGTCGTCCTGATGGGTCAGTGTTTTCCGGACAGGGGCAATCAGCAGACCAAGAAGTGACGGAAACTTTGGCGATCTCGCCCCTGAGACGCAAAATGATGGCCCAACATGGAAGCCCAACGGCGAGAGTTGTGCCATCCCCAAGGGAAGACGAAGTAGCAGCAGTAATTGCAGGTGGCTCTCTGCTTGAGACTTCAGCAACGAATACTGCTACGCCAGCTCCGGTTTCGCCGCTTACGCTGGAGGAAGAACTCACCGCGGTCGAAGCAGAAACAAAACCGCATGCCCCCCGCAGGTCACCAAAATCTAGATTGACATAGCTAAAGATCAGCATCTGCAACAGAAAATAGAGCATACATGCACTGCCGGAATTGATATTCGTAGTCGAAGAGCTGTGGCCCTAGACACATGTAACATTTGTATATTATATTAATCAAACACAGGTACAGATGGTCCATTGCCACCATGCATGTTAGTTTCTCGATATCTCATAAATGTAGAAAAGATGCCGACGGAGTTGGGCTGGTTCATTTTTCTCACACCAATATTTTTCTTGTATATTTTACGACTATCTCTGTGCTCGCGCCAAGCGATCTTCATCAAGAACATGTGCGTGCCTACAAATATGCTAGTGTCCCGTAAACGTTACTAAAATGTCGATCGAGCTGAGCTAGTTCTTCCCTCCCACGCCAATATTTTTAATATGCCCTTATTTACCGACTGACCACGTGTTCGCGCCGAGAGATCTTCATGGGGCACACCTGAGAAAACCAATCGCCCGCATTTACATGCCGCTCACACAGGTATTTGTTTCTGTAAATTATTCGTGTAGCATTTAAATGTTTAAATGGGCGTACTTAACCGCGAGGGCGATGACACAGGTAGCATTTGAACTACAAATGTCGTCGTGACGGGGTCACACAGCACCTTGCGCTAGAGGAAGTTATCTTCCGAGAGTATACAAACTCTCAGTGAACGGCAGTTCACAGGTCCCCTCTTTAGTTAACTCTTCTAATACGACCATTACGGATTATCCGGAATGTAATTTCAAAGATGAAATTGTTCCTCATTGTCCGCAACAGATTTGCAGCACTGAAAATCCGCATATTGATATTTGTATAGGATAAATTTTAGCAGGCCAACTGTAGCAGCTCCGACCGATGAGACATGAAATATTTAGAAAGTGGTTAGGGTTGCAGATATAAGAAACTGGGGGCGCTCGCCAGCCTTTCATTTCGAGATCTGCGCCCGAGAAGAGACCATCACTCCTGTTTCGAGAATATGTACGCCTACGCTACCGAGAAAACGTTCGCCCATATGTGGAACGAGCTTACCAAGAAAGGCTGGAAGTTTCGAAAGTCGTTGGGGCTGAGCGACGATCGGAGGTATCTGCCGCCGGGTGGGAGTCTCAAAGGAGCGGAAGGCGTTGACTATTTCCTCGGTACGTTACTTATGAACACTGTTTCATGCTGCTTTACTATCTAACCCCTTTTGGAATAGGTGACAAGAGTCTAATGAACTATTGCCGAAGGCAAGGGTGGCTATCGTTTGACCCTTTACCAAACCCAACGCCGTCCACCGCGTCACCAGTTGCTTTGACGTTGTCTGGTGCTGCACAAACCCCCGATCCACACACGACGTGTGAAAGTGAGCTTTCAGCCGCAGCGAAAGATGCGCCACGACAGCCGAGGCCTGCAGCAAAGGCTAACCCTCGTGACAACACGTCCAGGTCGCATGCAGTTGAACGAACACCACAAACGGCCAGCCAACACAAGTCTTCAGCGTCAAGCCAAGCTTCTAAACAACGTCGCGCTGGTAAATTTATCAGTTGGCCTCTGCTTGAGCTTTACTAACGTATTTATAACGGTTTATACAGAACCCCCTATTCTGGATACCACCCAAGTTGTTCCAGATACTACCTACCAGACTGGTCCGGATATTCCTGCTGAAAGGACGGATAATCCGGAAGTGGCAATTCCGGAAGCACTGAATGCCGCGCGTGCTGGCCTCCGAACCGGTGTCTCTCTTGACGATTTTGATTCTGATGACTTTATCAATGCCCTGCGGCGGGACACTTTATTCGAAGATCTCGATGCTGATGATTTCAACAGGGGAGGAGAGGACTGGTTGCGAGCCCTAGATTCGGATGCAGAAGGTGACGAAGAGCTCATTCTCCAAGATGGAAATGATGATGAATCTGTGGACGACATTGCTTCAGTCGCCAGTGACGAGAGTGGTGACGATCTTGCGAATGAAGATGATGATGTGCCTGTGGACTTTGATCTGACTAGTGAAGACTTGGATAACCTCCGCGCAGGAGGCTGGGACGTCTACATGGAGCAGCAGTCTTGTCAAGTACTGCGGGAGGGCTCTTCTCTCTACGAAGGTCCAACTCGCGCTGCATTAGCTTACGCTGAAAACCCATTGGCGATCTTCTATTTCTTCTTGCCGAAGGAGCTGTGGCGAAAAATCGCAAATGAAACAAACAAGTTTCGCCGAGGCAGTGCGGAATCTATCGCCCAGCAGATGCGAGCACGTGCCCTTCTCCGTCGTGAGACCGTTCCGTCGACTGCTGTACTCACTACCGAGGATTACAGAAGAAAGTTGGAACGCAAGAGCTCAATACAGCCCCATGAGATTGTTCGCTTTATTGGACTACTTGTCGCGAGAACGCTGGAGCCGCGCCGAGAGAGTCTCAGTCGTCATTGGATTACGAAGGCTGAGGGTGCACTATCCCGCGGTACATTCGGACAGTTCATGAGTCGGGATCGTTTCCACGACATTGCTCGCTACTTGCATTTCAACGACAATGCCCGGCAGCACGACAGTGCGGATCGTGCGTTCAAGATCCGTCCTGTTATTCAAGCTTTGCAGAAGACATTCTTCCGCGGATATCGGCTCGGTGCGCGAATTTCGTTCGACGAGGGGATGGTGCCAATGCGTCACCGCCGCAATCCAATGCGCCAGTACATGTCCAACAAGCCGAAAAAGTGGGGTACGAAGTTCTACATGACGTGCTGCGCGGACACCGCGTATTGATCGAGGTATGTTGTACGTTTATTACGGATATCCGGCACATGTGGCGGATATCCGTGGTAGTTTTGGTTCAGTGCATCCGTAATGTGTTCCGCACTATCCATATTGTATTCGCCTTATCGCTAACAATATGGTGTGTTTGTATGTGTAGACTGGAAAATTACTGCGGGAAAGCGAACGCTAACGAAGACGCTGTGGCGCAGCGAGCTGTGGTGAAGAATGTGACGCGTGTACTACAAGGACAGCCTTCTCAGAGGCTTATTTGTACAGACAATTTCTATACGTCAATCCCGTTATCGGACAAACTCCTCAGTATGGGCCACTACCACGTCGGGACCATTCGCAAGGACCGGAAAGGGTGGTGTAAAGCTATTGACTTTACGCAGAAAAAGAGACCGAAGAAAATGGCCAGAGGAACTTACCGAATAGCTGTATGGAGAGATCGCCCCGAGTTCGTAGCTCTGTCGTGGATGGACAGCAAGCCAGTTACATTTTTAGCGACTGGTTGCTCCACCCAAATTACTCACGTCACCCGTAGAGAGCCCGGCGGATCGATCTCCCAAGTCCCATGCAGCTGGTTCGAGATTACCATGAAGCGATGGGAGGTGTGGACGTTCATGATCAACTACGCCTTCAACGGTACTCAATCCAGCGCTCCATCCGCATGCGAAAGTACTACAAGACCATTTTTCTCGGCTTAGTGGATATTGCTATGGTAAATGCTTTTATCATTCACAAGATCCCCCTGCGTCGTCTCAACAAGCCCGTTCCCACGCATGCCGTGTTCATGCGGCGACTACATATTGCCCTGTTGAGTCAGACAAGCGAAGATTTTGCCGGGGACGATGACTTAGCAGACCTCGTGACCGAGCCACTTCCTCGAAGCGCGCACACGCTCGAGAAGCCGGAAGAGAAAAACGGAAACAAGCGCCGCCAGTGGCTCTGTAAGGTCTGCTCAGCGTACGCGGGTCCTGGCGTCCGCAGCTTCGAAACGAGCTATTTTTGCGCGACGTGCTCAAGAGTCAAGAAGGGGCGCGTTACTCTATGCAATAAGGCTCGCCGACTAGACCACGGTAGCGCTCTCACCTGCAACGAAGTATGGCACCAGAGCTGGCGCAACGGCATGGCTATTCCTGCTGTGATGCAGCACAAAATCCGGTTTGTAGAGAAGCGTACACGCGAGGTCTGTAGCGAGAGTGAAGAAGACTAATGAATGGCACTTGGGAATGATGTTCACATTTTGTTGTGTTGTCGTTTGGGTAATGCCCAACGGTTTTGCAGGGAGATCGCAATTGACAGTAGTTAGGACGATTTTCGTACTGCCCATCTCTAACGATTAGCCAATCACATTCTCTAGGCAATCCACGTGTCAGACAAAAGGGCTGCATACATGACATAAAGTACTGATTTTCCGGTATAGTTTACTTCATATGTTATAATCACGGATAATCCGGAACAGCCTTCGTATTAGAAGGGTTAAAGAGAGCGAAGTGACCTCAATAAGGTAGATTGTAAACTGAGTATATTTATAGGTAGATTAAGTTTGGGTTTAATACAAACTATTAGTCACCTATAGAAATGCAATGTCATTTAACCAATGGTTGGCTTTGAACGACTTTGGTACCTTGTACCAAATATCCCGGAGTATGACGTGTCATACTCCTGAAGTGTGAAGGGTCACACTTCATGTAACCAGGGTACACTCAGGGCTACGTACCCCGTTACATCCTCCCCCACTTAGGTTCGGTTTACCGACCAATCAGAATGAAGAGGTGTTCGTCACAAACTCTCGTTCTCAAAGTCGAAAACCATCGACTTGGCCGCACGAGCGCGGCGGAGGCTCACTTCACAGTTAGAGCCTCGAGCAGCAACCTGTGCGCTCTTCGTCTAGGTCTCCACTTCGACCGTTAACATGCCTCGTGGCACTGCTAAGAGCGGTGCTAAGACACGCTCCAAGGCTGCAGCCGGTAAGGCGCAGGCCAAGAGCACTAAGCCTCACGGCAAAGGCTCTGCACTTAAGGAGGCTACTCAGGTGGCCTCCGAGGCGATCGGATCCTCGGGTGACGCGGCTGCGGACAAGCGCGCAAGCAGGCGCCGCAGTCCGTCGCCCTCGTCTTCAGACAATCGTCCGAACCCTCGGTTCGTAGAACGTGAGTTCAACTCGGGCAGGGAAGACGATGCCGAGTCCGAGAGCACTCATGATGCTCCTGCGGGCTCTGTGGGAGGGCACAGCCCAGTGCCCAGTGAGCACAAAGATGGCAGCGTGCAGTCGCCCGCTAGTGAT